GTGTTGTGGGCGCCATTAACTCCCATGTCAGACAAATACAGTAAGGCTCCCCCCACATGCCTCTGGGCATCGACAGTGTTGTGGGCGCCATTAACTCCCATGTTAGACAAATACAGTAAGCCTCCCCCACATGCCTCTGGGCATCGACAGTGTTGTGGGCGCCGACATTTACCGTACCAGGGGGACATGGTAAAACCCCTCGCATGCCTTCGGGTATCAACAGTGTGACAGGCGCCGACGTCTACCATACCCAAAGAAGACAATACAACCTCCCACGTGCATATGACATTCAACAGTATTATGAGCACCTACCACCATCCCGTACCCACTAGCGTGGGCAATAAGACTAAATAGCATACGTACTCTCTCCTTCTCACTTTTAAGGCCATCCCCTTCATCTATAAAAGGGGATGCGCTCTCTCTCAACAGATAGATTCATTCAGATCGATCAAGTTCACATAGCACATAGCGGAGCTCCCGTCACTCTTGGCCCCTCTGATCGGAGTCCGACCGAACCTCTTGTACACTCTATCTTTCTCCTTCTCGTTTGTAACCTTGCAAAACTTTGAGCACCTGGGCTCAGGAATAAAGTCACCGGCCGACTCAAACTGGACGTAGGGCACATTGCCTGAACCAGTATAAATCCTGTGTCATTGAGTGCTAGGCCACCTCCGATCACAACGTACGATAAAACTACAAATATTTACGTGTTGGTCACTTTCTGCACCGACACATGGCGTGCGAAGCAAATTGCCCTGGCGATTCGTTGGGGTAGTTGGGAGGAAGCGTACAACAGGGTGCCCCACATCTTATGTGTAATGCATTACTATAACCCTGACTTAAAATAGTTTGTGGACACCAGAGGGATGTGTTTTTGGGACCCGTTGAAGCATGTCCTCTATCGTGTGTTCTAGTCGTTCGCACAAATGGCATGCATTCCAGTTTTGTCGGCCAGTCGTACTTGTTCATGGCACTTTTCTGGCAGAAAAGTACAGGGGCACCTTGATGATGGTTGCTGTTGTTGATCCTGAGGACCAGATAGTACCCATGGCATTTGCTTTGGCAGAGGGAGAGAACAATGAATTGTGGTCATGGTTCATGCGGCTTCTACATGTACAAGTGCTAGGCCCATCTCGGACTATATGTTTGATCTCGGACCATCACCCAGTGCTTCTTAATGCTGCAACTGAGCATATAGATGGGTTCCCATCTCTAGTGCATAGATGATACATGAGACACTTCGTCGCTAATTTCTGGCGGCGTCAGAGGAAGCAGGAGGTATGTGACAAGGTAAAGGCTCTATGTTGTGTACGTACAGAGCACCAGTTCAAGGAGATAAAGAGAGAACTAGACAAGATGGTAAATAAAGCGGGAAAGGCCTGGTTAGAGACGTAGATGGAACAGAAGGCTCTGTGGGCGTTAGTATATAATGAGGGGGGTTTCAGGTATGGCATCATGACCACTAACTACTTAAAGTCCTTCAACCGTGTATTCACTGGAGTTCAATCATTGCCTGTGTCTGGAATTATTGAGTTCTCCTTTCATAAGTGCAACGAATATTTTGTCAAGAGGTGAGAACTTGCGAAGAGGAATATAGCTGAGCAGGGGCGTTTTGGAAAGGCCATAGCAAAATATTTGAAGGAGGCCGAGGAATTGGCCAAACAGCACACCGCCGAGCCATATGGACCCCGACGCCATATCTTTAGTGTATGGGGCAAGGGTGGTACAAGCTTGGACGGCGAACGTTATGGTGGACGAAACTACCAAGTTGATCTTGAAAAGGTAGAGTGCAGTTGCAACGTCCCTCGGATCATGCATGCCCCTTGCTCTCATATGATCATGGCCTGCAGGGTTCGTGGGTACAACTATGAGGATCTGTTATATATGTCACTCTTGTATCTCCGTTCGAACACCGACGTTGGCTACACTCCCACTATGTTGCATATAAATCCGAAGAGACAGAGACGTCTGAGAGATCCTTACACTCCTGGGACTTAGTTGGTTATGTCGAACTTATGTCGAAACTTGCAGACTCATGAACCAATTAAAATGTTATGTCGCAACTTGTCAACTTGCGCACGAACTCCTATTATTTGCTTCATATTCGTTTCAATGCGTTGTTGCAGCACTTGTAGTTGTTTACTGAGACACAAAGCAGACTCCGTTCAATTGAAATTGAGGCTTTGGTGAACACTACATCTCGTTCAGTCCTCTAGTGCCATGGGCCTTAGCGGCGTCGATCTTGCGCAAGTAGTGGGATATGGCGGCGAAGCGAACACGGGCTTAGGGTTGCGTGCCAAATGTACCACGCCGTGGGCCTAGTTATTTTATATTAATCTAATGCTAATAACATAAATTACACGCTACTATTTTAAAATACATGGAAAACATGCAAGATATATATGCCACCAGCCGTATTCAAAATAATTTCACTCGATTTTGTTCGTTTTAGAAATTCTCACCACATTCGCTATTATTAAAAAAACTTGGATGCATGAGAGAGCGACAAACGGATGACTCGGAGGGTGACAAACGGATGGGATCACTTAAGATCGACCATGGGTAATCCAAGTACATGATACATGGGTACAATACATCAATAGTTCAAAAGAAAAACAAGACAACATAATGAAAGTTTTAGTACATAGCTACATTGATCATTAATAAAACATGGAACTAACAGACGGCGCAATAAAAAATCCCCAGTCAGAAACAAATTGAGTAAGCAACTCGTCGTCCGAGTACCAATCCTCTACCACAACCCTGTTGCAGTGGCTAGGGTCACCTGCATTGCCCTGATCTGCCTTTCACCTGTAGTAAGCGGCCTTCGCTTCATCTATGGCCTGAGACAAGAACGCGTTCTCTTCCTCCTCGTTCATGTGGCTAGGTTCACCTGTATTGCTCTAACCTGCGTGTCACCTACAGTAAGCGGCCTCCGCTTCATCTGCGGCCTGAGTGAAAAACGCGTCGTCATCCTTCTCCGCCTGTAAGCCCGTCTCTGCTAGAGCGATGAACTCGCTCAGTTAGCCAGTGTCGTCCTCAGCCTCCTTAGCCTGCAAACCCACCTCAGCAAGAGCGATGAGCTCGCTGAGTCTGCCAGTGTCGTCCTCAGTCTCCTCCGCCCGCAAGCCTGCCTCAGTAAGAGCGATGAGCTCGCTGAGTCTGCTAGTGTCGTCATCAGCCTCCTTCGCCTACACGCCCGCCTCTGCTAGAGTGATAAACTCGCTTAGTCTGGCAGTGTCGTCCTCATCCTCGTCCCTCTCATCAGACAACACAATCGGTGATTGAACGGTGCGACTAGCTCGTGTTCTGTGCTCATCTAACTACTTTTCCTCATACCTTGCACGAGCCACCTCTCCGTCATGGTCCTCGCTGCATCCAATCCCTTCATGTATAAAATACAATCAGTTAGCAACGCGATTATATTACATTTAAAATTAGGCAACGAAAAATGGCTTTCAAGCACTCACTAGCACATAATACAACAACTTACTCGTTTAAGACCTGCATCTGTACTCTTGTCTCCTCCCTTGCCTCATTGCTTGCTCTCTCCTCCTCTAACACCCTCCGTCTCTCAAATCTCCATTTGTCAAGCCCAACATCGATTGGGTTACGAATATCGCGCTGTCTAGCAAACTCACACACAGAGAAGGTTCCTCGAGTCGTCTAACTGTGGCTAAGTGCTTCTCCTTAGCCGTCATTGGAGGGGGGTTAGGGGAGGTGGAACCCACCGCTCGAAGTGCTCTCATGGATGTCGTCTTCTCCACCAATCGTCGAAAATGAGGTACATGGGGTCAAACTTGTCTGCACCGTCGATCCACTAAAAGAAAAAGCACCTCTCATGGGCCTACACAACAAAATTCCAACAAAATATTAGTAACCTAGTAATACAAATGAAGAAAAAAATATACGAAAACAATTACTTACATTAAAACGACTGCATGTGTAGAAGCAACGAGCCGTTGTGTCCGGATATCTCGATTAAAACACGTCGGCCGGACGACCATAGTCACAGTTAGGGACAGGGAGGTCAGAAGGGACGGGGGTATCTTTGCTAGACTTGTCGGGGTATAATTCTCTAGGACGACCCGTTTTGCGTCAACTGCTCCCGAAACATGTTTTCCATCTAATAAAACGGTTTAAATTAAACATCAATCAAAACATCGTAAATTAATGTAAAATATAATCATTTGTATTGCAACTCAAATAATATAACCAACACTTATAGTAACAAAAATATACATGGTAAACATACTTCTAACTAAATAATTAACCTTAACATCGATAAAATCAAACCATAACCCATAGTTTCCAAACATAATTTTTCTCATAACCTTAACTCCCGGTCATAATATTTGGATCCAGCATTCAAATAAAAATAAAAAGTGCGTCATTACCTTGAACGAGGCCAAGAAGGAAGGGAGGCGGCCAAGGAATGAAAGGGAAAGGAGAGAGAGGCGGAAACAGAGGGCCGAGCGCCGACAACACTTGGGAGTGGCGGGCAGGCAGGCGGACAGGCAGACGAAGGCAGGCGGGACTGGGCCGCGACCCTTTTAGCCGGCTCTGCCGCGCCACCGATCAGGGCGCGTCACTGCCGCGCCAAGATCGATGGCGCGGCAGACCCTGCCACGTCATCGGTCAGTGCCCCGGTCATCGTCACGTTATCCCTCCCGCCGCGCCACCATGCATGGCGTGGGACAGACGTTTCGGCGCGCCATGGCGATAGGCGCGGCAAAAAATATTAGTTTTGAAAAAAAAACAGCGGTAAATTTAAAATTAGGTTAAAAAAATGTAAAAAATAAAAAAATTCTTCGCGGAGGAGTGGGGTGGGGTGTTGAGGTGCTGAACGGTTTTGACTCGAATCATGGTGTGCAGCTCCGCCGGATAGAGAGCTGACCTGAGGTGGGAGATTCGGATCGTGGGGGTGGAGGTACAGCTCAGTAGGAGATCAAGAGTAAGGAGAGGGGCAGGGGAGGGGAAGGAGGCGATAGCGGGGGAGGATGGTGCTCGTGCTTGCGCTGGGGGATCTGCACATCCCGCACCGGGCGCCCGACCTGCCCGCCAAATTCAAGTCCATGCTCGTGCCGGGCAAGATCCAAACATCATCTGCACTGGCAACCTCTGCATCAAGGTAACCGTACCTTCCTCGCCTGGCCGGCCGGCCGGGTAACCGGCGACCCCTTTTCGATCGATCTTACAATCCCTTCCTCTCGCTTCATGCGTCCAATTTTGTTGCGCTGGCTAGGTCATAGTGCCGTGGATAGTTGCATCACGAGAGAAATTGTTATGGTTCTTAGGTCTCAGCAGCATCGCTATATTATTCTATACTGCAGTCTTTTGTTTGGTTCGGTTGGGCAGCGTGTGTGTGCGATTATTTTGGGCTCCAGGGTGGCGATGGCACCGAGCTGGTCTCTATAACCGGACTTCATCTTGTGTTTTTCCATTTGTTGAAACAAATTGATGATCGATGGACCCCAATGCTGATGCTTTGTCAAAAAGTTCAGTGATGGCAGGCTTACTATTTTGCATGTTCAGTACACCAATGTCACATCTTACTGCCTATAATCATAGAGCTCTTTCCAGTTCTTGTTAAACTGTCAAGGGAAAATTCTCAGCCGGCAACACGCTCACCATGTCTATGTTTACTAGGAATAGGAATTGTGCAATTGTAATACGATGTGGAGCTTTCCCAGGAAAATACTTTAGTAACCACTACGTAGCTAGAAGGCACCACCTGTAACTACCTTATTGTCTTAGTAGTTATGTATATTTGTAGGTAGCTTGATGCTATCACAGTTTACAATTGTGCTTAGAGAAATTTGTTATCATTATTTCACGCTCTTAACAAGTTCTCCATTTTTGAAACTACATTTTTTAAAATCAATTTAGTCCCAGCTCTTACTTGATGAAACTATATGCTCTTAGTTGATTTTTAGGAAGTAGACTACAGGGAACATAATAGCTGCAACCACTAGATTTATCAAATGAAGAACCTATAGTATGTACAACTAATATCCATTTTACTATGTAGCTCCAAATGATCAGCTGAAATAACTTTGTTCTTTCATTATTCATTCATTATTGTTAGTCATAGGGTTGGTCTCCCAATTCATAAGAAGGGGCAGAGATTTTTTTTTAAAGGAGTATCTATATGATACCATACCCTGTACAGGTTTATGAAATGTTGCCAAAACTGAGAACTGTACAGGAGGACCCTATTGAGTATATATGAAGTAATAGAAATAAAAGGCAGCTTGGTACAGAAGAACCTGTAAGCTTTACAAAGCTAAAAGATTGAAAATTCAAATTGTTCGACTCAAAGCCTTAACCAAAGCCGCTTCCTAAAGAAAAATATATTATCTAGAGATGTCACCTAATAATCTTCTGAGGAGCTCTTTAATTCTAAATCATAAAGGAGTGAATTCATCTATTGCATATTTGGAGGGATCTTGTCAGAAACCAATCTAGTTATTCTAAGTTTCTAACAGGCAAGAGCGACCAGCTCCTTGATAGATTACTATAGTTATACTGTCAAAGAATGATTACGATATCAGTTCCTTTTGAGAGAACACTGGAAAGATAATAACTGCATTGCAGTTTTTTTAAATGATTTTTTGTTGCATTTAGGTGAACGCCTGAACTAGACTACTACAGTGAGAGGGAAGATGAAAGCTGACAATACCTTCTATTTAGTAATTTTCTAGTATATTGGGAAGTTGTTTTTAATCACCCAATCTTCAGTTCTCTCTGATCTTCACAATTCACATCTCCAAGGAAGCAATAGTATCATTTCCTGGTGGCTAACTTGCATGTTGATAAGGATAGTTGCATAGAATAGTACTCCTTGTCCCATATATTGCTGCTTGTTCACTTTTAAGCTCTTGTCATCATATAAGCATGCCAGTTGATATGTTCCTGTTTGGCATAGTTTAATCTTCTCTAATAATCTAGTTTATCAGATGTTTGCTCATAAGTCATAAGCCATAACATAAGTCCCAAGACCCTCCGACTGAAATCAGCATATTGAGGATCTCTTGTACAAAATGGACTTAGGGTTAGGCCGAAGAACTGTGAGCTATTTGGCGTTACTTTGTCTTGGAATATTATTGGAGGTGAAGCTAAGCCAAATAGGCTATTGTATCTTGATTTTGGTAACAAAAAGTTTGAGCACAAAATGGCATATACTGCATCCAGTCAACTAAACGTGATGTTTCGGACAGGGCAATTATCTTGTGTCCTGCTTGTTGTGCTTGTACTAAACGTAATTGACCAGAGGGAGCGCTTAAAATATTGGCCTTATCTTTTTATAAATTGTAGGCTAAACAGCTTTAGCTTTAATGGCAAATACACCAAGTTCAAAAGCTTGCTCTGTTGGCAAGAGTGTTTAATATGTTTGGCTTATCTTGCTGTGCCATCATTGATTTGCTGAATTATCCTTTTGGAACTGGAAATAGATGAAGAACTTCCCCCAGTCGCATATATGGGAGATATGGTAATGCATATCTTGTGCATCAGGCACCAATACACAATCTACCTAGTAGAAGTGTTTATGGCTTAATGAAACCTAAATACTTGGTAAGTTGAAGAGAGATGCATTTCACCTTGATGAAATTGAGGAGTTGAGCTAGCTCAGTTGGTCAAGGGTGTGGATGTATGCCTAGAACACCCTGGTTCAAGTCCTCATTGAGGTGAATTTGGGTGCCTATTTTCTTCTTAACAAAATGTCACCTAGTTCTCCTAGGTTGGTCTAGTTGCGCGTTTGTGTTTATAATCTTGATGAAGCTGGTTCCTTTTTTCTTTTGTTGGTATAGTCTGTCTAGGGGGTGGGGGTGTACCTACGCTTGTCGGAAGATGCAAAAAAAGGTAGAATATGTTGATGGGCTCTTAGATTTGGGCCTATGATGATATTAACTCTAGCCTTCTAGGCATCAATCGCGCTATTGCATGGCATACCTACTCCTTGCAGTATGAATGTCTGTGCTATCCTTCTCAAGGAGCGTCTAATGTTTTCTATATGTTCATGAATTGGTTATTCTTTTATGGAACTTGGTCATTCACTATTTAACTTATCATCATAGTTGCAAATGTACTTTAGAACCTGGGTTATGGTATCCCATTTTCCTATTGCGGATTGATGGTTTGTATGAACTGAGTGTTTTTGTTCTGATGAAGTACAGGCTAATAATTTTCATAATTTCAATGTAGGAAGTCCATGACTACCTGAAAAGCCTTTGCCCTGATCTTCACATAACTAGAGGTGAATATGATGAGGATGCTCGATACCCAGAGACTAAGACACTTACAATTGGTCAGTTTAAGCTTGGGCTGTGCCATGGCCATCAGGTTTGTTTGACTCATGAAATGTACGGGAGCTATTACTTTCATGCCCATGGTAATAAATTGTATTCTTAATTTCTTACAGGTGCTCCTTGGCGCACACACAAAAAACCTATGCTTGTTTTATGATGCCTATAATTTATTTCACATATGACCATGTTTGTTAACCTGGTTATTTAAAGTTTTAAACTGCTTTGTTCTTTGCTCATGAACTAGCACTCTGATATATGCATATTGTTGAAACCAGACTGTACTTTTAGTTAGACGTATGTTAAGCAATCTAATGTTAGCACAGACTCCGTAAACAATTTTTGTTTCTTTTATCTTAGCATGTTCATGCCCTGCGTGTAAATTTGATACATCTTTGAAACTACCTCCAGCCATTCTGATATGGACCATCAATTTGTAACTTTTACTTTGGAAATTTTTCTTTCTGAGTTTCCTGAGATCAGGAAAGAAGTAGTTCTCTTATTTTCTAGAATAAAAGCCAGGGTCTGCTAAGTGCGTAGATGGCTAAACCCTCAATTTTACTCGTTTCTACACTTTGACCATAAAAGTTCAATCATTTGCGCAGTTCTTAGTTCTTACCCAGGAAAATTAAATTAAACACATGGCTTTCCATTGCAAATCTGGCAATATGTTTCTCAATTCTTCTAGTGAGGTGACTTTTAGTCATGAAGTTACCAAATAATGTGCTTAACTACCAAAAATCATAAAAATCAAACTCTTTGTTGTAGTCCTCAGTGTCATTTATTAGGTCAACTGTCTTATTGGCCTCGAAAATGCAGAGCTCTATAAAGTGGAACCAGATGTCTCCTGTCCACTGATTCAACTTTTGCAGTGAAGAACACCTCTGCAGAGCTCTATAAAGTGGCCATGAAAACTTTTGCTGTGGTGTTTCAATATAATGCATTCAATGTTTTCTGATGGTCTATAGTTTTACTTGAAGAACAAAATTATTTTTCTTCTAAAGTTGAAACAACTGATAGTCTCTAATAGGAGCCAGAGAGAGTGGTCCATTTCCATAGACCATATCCATAAAGTGATTTGATACTCCCTCCTTGGGGACATCAAGCCTGGCCACACCACAAAGCCCATGCTCGGTGTCTAGAACTTCACTTGTGGAGAGCCATGCACGATGTTGGTTCATTGTATCTGCCACTGCCAGTGCATGCACCATGTTCTGCACCTTCATTCACACAGTTTATGAGAACTGCTCTCCATTTATTTTTTTCACTCTGTACTTCACCATTCGTAACGATATGACACCAGTAAACATGATTAATGGGCAATAGATGATTGTGAGCACATTGTTTGCGCACGCTGTGGCTCTTGAATTCCAGTAGACCATCTCTGCCCCAATGTCAAATGTTAAATTTGCGCATGTGGTCATTGAGACTGACTATCTAGCATATATTTTCTGTTAAACATTTTTTCACTCAATCTCTGCATCTACCGAACATCAGGTTGTTCCATGGGGCGACCTGGACTCCCTGGCGATGCTCCAGCGACAGCTGGACGTGGACATCCTGGTGACCGGGCACACCCACCAGTTCAAGGCATACAAGCACGAGGGAGGCGTGGTGATCAACCCTGGCTCAGCCACGGGCGCCTACAGCAGCATCACTTACGACGTGAACCCGAGCTTTGTGCTGATGGACATCGACGGGCTCCGCGTGGTGGTGTACGTCTACGAGCTGATTGACGGCGAGGTGAAGGTGGACAAGATCGACTTCAAGAAGACAGCGACGATGCACGCCTAGCCCTATATATGCACGCCGTGATTGAGTTCAAGACATGTCTAGCTTCTGTTTTCTCTTTTTCTCCTCTTCTTGATTCAGAGTTCCCTCAACACTCTCTTTCTACCAATTGTGCTCACCTGTTCATGTGCAAAGAACTCTTTAGTGTTTTTACACATTAGCTGATCAGATTACGACGGTGTGATGTTAAATGTCAATCAAGTAATTTAGGCCCCGTTTGGTTTACCTTATAATCCGTATTATTCAGCTTGTTTTTTCAGTTGGAACAGTGTTTTTCTCTCGCAACAATTTAGCCAGAACAGTGTTTTTCAGCCAATTCAATCAAGTTTCAGCAAGCCGAACGGGGCGTTAGTATTTGGTCGTGCCTTAAGCAAGAACAGATGAGCCTAAATTTACGTTTATATAAAGTGTAGATGAAATAATTGCAAGATAGATTGGGTTGCTGTTTGCTCCATTCTGTCTCCTCTTTGTTACTGTGTATTCTGTTTCCAAAGTCTGAGTAGAAAAAAAAAGTAAAAGGAAAAGCTAAAAGAAAAGCGTTGTGGAATGGTGCTTGTCCGTGCGGCGGCATGGCCGACCTCGAACATGATTGGGCCTCCAAGCGTTGCATTGGAGCCCACACGGTGGCACGGCACTGCAAGGGGAAGCAAGAGTTCCCCGTGGCGCACGCTGGACGGCGTCGACAGGCTCTGAGACAGAGGTCCGTGGCCGTGGGCATCACGTACTCGCGGCGATTCTTTTGCATAAACTCTCAAAACTACGACGAAGAATCACTTCGTAGAGTTAGGAGAAGCTATTTTTTTCTCTCTCTCTTAGCCTTTTAATTTATTTTAAAGAATCACTTTATAAAATTAGCTGAGAATCACTTCTCTATGAAAAACTGTTTGTCAGCTCCTACTAGATTCAGCAGAGAATCAGCTCGAAATCTCTGCCAAACAAGTCCTAAGTGATGTGACTGTCTTGAAAACAATATTATAAAATCTTATACTAAGAAAGTAAGAATGGTCTAAGAGCAGCTACAGCGTTAATTTCTAATTGTTGATAAGAAGAGAGAGGAAACCGACGAGATATAGTACGCTGGAGTAGAGTTTGCTATGGGTGCTATTCTAGCAGCAGCGTGCAAGTTGAGCATCCTGTGCATACAAATTTAAAAATATTTTCTCTCTGTCCTTGCTTTTCATAGTGCAAACACTGTTTTTTTTAACTTCCTCCATTCTAAATTATAAGATGTTTTGATACATAGTAAAATCATTGTATCTAGAGATGGCAAAAAAACATCTTATAATTTGAAAAAGACAGTAGTATCTTTTTTTTTAATTCGGTGTGCTGAGTTCCACGTGAGTGCCAAAATCATCCATCAACCTCAGGAACCGGTTCATCTCAAAGACTCAAAGCGAGTTAAACTTGCACTGTCCACTGATGCAGCAACTCAAGGCGATAGATAATTTTTTTTTATTTTTGTGTGGTCAAGGCGAGCCGATGAAATGATGCAAGAATATGTAACCATCCTTATACAGGTCCCAGAGCTGGTAGCTAATTTTAGTTTACTCATGGAACCGAAATCAGGAAAGGGTATCGTAAGAAGAAAAGACCTCCCACACAACTCGGTGTCTACTAGTACTAACTTTGACGTTGGCATGCAGCGGATGAGGTTTGTTTGGCGGGCATTGGCAACAACTAACACTGATGGAACACTTGGAATACTAACATAACACATGCATCATATCAATAATCATGTGAAGTCGTGGCTGGCATCGCACTTTTGGAACGGAAAAAGCTACTGTTGCTTACTGCTGGTAATCGAGCCCAGCTGTGCATGGTGCACCTTTTCATTATTTCCCGTCCTCCTGAGTCCTGACCGACCTCACACGTACGTACGCGTGCTTGGCCTGGGCAAGCAAGCGCAATCGATGGACGCCTGTTGTGTTGTTGAGCGACGATTAGGTTTGTTTTGGTTGACCATTCTAAATTTTAGTTATTGTTCCATTAAATATTTGATATATATATAAATATTAAATATAAACTAATTACGAAACTAATTACATAGTTTGTGATTAATTTGTGAGACGAATCTTTTAAGCCTAATTAGTCCATGGTTTGATAATGTGGTGCTACATTATACATGTGCTAATACCAGGTTAATTAGGCTTAAAAATTTATCTCGTGGAGTACCGACGGATTATGTAATTTGGTTTTTTATTAGTATCCAAACACCTCGTGCAACATCCTCATAATACACCACCTAAATTTTAGTTATTAGATCAAACACCACCTTAATTAAGTGTGGCCTCGACTCAACCTCAAATATAGGGATAAGCTTGTTAATTAATTAATTAGCCGAGGTAGGCCACGCCAATAATAGCGGGCAGCGGGGCGCGGAGGAGAGGCAGGAGCCTAGGCCTAGGGCGCTCCGCTAGATACTCTCAAAATTCTAAGCCTTTTCCGCCCGCGCCGTCGCTTTTTAATTGTCGAGAGCCGGCCTCCCCTCCGCAGCTAAAAATGGGCTGGCTATGGCTCGCCTTAGTGGCCCAAATCACGCCATGCTGATTTTTTGAGCCGTAATTGGTGGGACGGGATCTCCTGCGGCAGACCATCCTTCCTAGGAGTAGTTTTGTCTTTGAGACGGGCAGCTTCACAGTCCGGCATGCGATGGCACTGGCATTTTTTTCAATCGAACCATCGGAACCAGTAGTAAACAGGGCGCTCCAAACATCCCAGAGGAGGATAGAAAAGCTGCCTGCACAGAGCGCCATAGCGACGCGTCGCTGTCGCCCCTGTCGAGAGCCGGCCTCCCCTCCGCAGCTCCGCTCCTGGGCTGGCTCTGGCTCGCCTGCCAGTGGCCCAGTCGCCATGCTGATGCTGAGCCGTGGCCGGTGGGACGGGATCTCCTGCGGCAGACCATCCGGCGGCGTTTAGTTGGGAGGCAAACTATTTTTTTTTATTTGTGAATTATTATTCAAACATTGATTAATTATATTTAAAAGATTCGTATTTAGATAATAATTTAAAATAAAATAAAATCTACTGAATTAATTTTTGATTTATCAAAGTTAAGCGCTACATTTAATTGTCAACTAAACACCGCGGTAAGTTTAATGTGGCATGGCAGCTCTTTTTAACGCAGGTCAGCCCCAAACCCCGATCTTAGAGAAATCAGGCCTAGGAGTAGTTTTGTCTTTGAGACGGGCAACTTCACAGTCCGGCATGCGATGGCACTGGCATGTGCGACGAAACGAACCATCGGAACGGAGCAGCAGCAAACAGCAGCAGGGAGGGGAGGAACAAACATCCCAGAGGAGGATAGAAAAAGCTGGCAGCACAGAGCGCCATAGCGACGCGACCGCAGTGGGCGCCTCGGAATTTGGAGCGCCCCCGGCGGCCACGCCCACGGCCTGACGGCCAGCGTCCAGACTGCTGAAGGCGCTCGCTCGGGCTCGGTCTCTGTGCGTGTGTCATTTGAGCACCGCGGCCGCAGACGCCAGCATGGCATGCAGCAAGGGTGCATATTCATGATGGGATGGATGCTTCAGTCCAGCCCGCCCGCCCCCCCAAACCCCACATGTCCTACACGCAACGTGACCCGCCGCCCCGCAGTAACCTTTTTTTTTGTTGACCTTTGGACTGCGGTTATTAACTGCGCCTTGTTGTAGATATGAAAATTTTTTTAAATGAAATTTGTGAATCTGTAGTTTTTCGTTTGTTATTTGGCAAATTTTATCCGATCATAATCTAATTAGGCTTAAAAAAGATTTGTCGATGGATTTACAACTAAAACTATGTAATTAATTATTTTTTTATTTATATTTAATGATTGCATGAAAAAGTCTTAAAAATTCGATGTGATCTAAAAAAGCCGAGGAAAAACCTTTTCGGCTGCAAACTTTTTGCAAACTAAACTGGACCTAACGAACCACGCGCACGCGGCGATTGATCACTCACTTTAATCAGTGGCAGCTGACTGTACTAGTAGTTTATGATTATTACTGCGATAAGTGCTGTCTCAGTGCCTCCGTCTCTGTCGAGTCTCGACTGTCACGCACGCACGGGACGGGAGCAGACAGCCAGTCAGGAATTTTGAATCAGTCTTCCCGTACGCAGACAAGGGTTCATATTCATGATGGGATGGATGCTCCCTCGGAGAAAAAGTCTGTCCAGCCCGCCCGCCCAATGGATAACACCACAAAAAGTCTCTCCATTACATTTTGGGCCATGGGCCCATGGCCACCCTCGCCCGCCCTGAACCCAAACCGTGTTGACCTTTGGAGCTGCAGGTAGGGCCCACAACGGCACCAAGGACGACTTCTGCAGGTACCTCGTGCTGGTGCCGTCGCCGAGTCTGGCCCCTCGGAACAGGACGATCCTTTGGTGCGCCGAGGGTGTCGGGATCGTTCCTCGTCGTCGTGCTCACACCGACCGCGTCCCGCTCCTCGGCGGGAACACGTCGATGGGCAAAATCTTACGCAAGCCGTTCCGGGGACCTCGTGGGCTGCGTGTCGCGCTCCCGTACATTCCCAATCAAGAACCTCCGAACCCTAACAGGCGGCGTGCGAAGAGCTACGGGAACATGGTGCGAAACGATAGCACGGCGTCGCTGTGTCGAGCTCCCGTGCGTGTTCGTGGACCTCGACCATTCTGCCGCACGTACCACGACAAGCTCTTCTTCTCTGACGACGGCGGCGGTTCCTCCGCCGCCGCGCCTTGGTCTGGCGATGAGGACGAACGTCTACTTCGTCTTTAAGCTGTTTCTGAACCCGGTGCACCGGGGCGAGCTCGACAGATGTTCCCTCGGAAAGACTTCGGTGTTCTACTGCTGGCGCGCTACCTGTTCCACCCGACGAACAAAGTGTGGGGGCCGATCACGAGGTTCCACGCTTGTACACGAGGGACTCGGGCGAAAAGTGGGCATCCGAGTTAGGGTGTTCGACGGGGACACTCTGTTCCAAAGACATCTTGGATCGAGATCCTCGCTTTGCACGTCGCAAGAACATCTGCTCCCCGACGTG